TAATGCTCTTATTCTCTTACATGAATTGTTTTCTTTGAAATATTAAATGTGAAACCTAGACGAGTACTGTAAGCTCATCTTTAATTCTGTCCGTCGACTCCGTCCGTTGTTGTGAAAATGTTTGAGCATTGGGGCGATGTTTTGATTTGTTTGTTGATAAACACAAACGCACCTTCTCATTGGTTGAAAAGTGTCGCGTGACCAGCTGGCCCTGTCCTTAAATTTAGGGATATTCCGGACTGATTAAAGGTTTCTTAATACACGAGGAAGTAAAAACTAACGCGGATAACTTAAACTACATGCAAATATAGTAAACTTAAGCTAAATGAATATAGAGTCAAGGTATGGGTACCTGTAGACGTCGATTTCGACGTTTGTCTTCGATGAAATCGTCAGTTCTTCATGCGAAATCACGTCGCATGTCAAGAATTGTTTTGAATGGCATTAACCGGTATTAGCGAGCTCAGCGCAACCAAAACGACGAAAGAAAAGAGAAAATATAAAAAGGTTAATAAGCACAGCAAAAACACTGAACGTGCAGCACACTATTTGGCAGACTTCTTTGCCGTCATTGCACGACTAATGCTGAGCTGTCAAACTTGCAAAATTGAAATGGCAATACGATCGTCGCTTCATCAACTTGAGCGATCGTCGCAATTTCGATGTCGTCCGGAATACCCATACAGAGGCTCAATTTAGTTCTCAATGAATGTAATTTTAAACTCTACATATTATCTGAATGCGAAATTAAAATGTCACATACAACCCTTTACCTTTCCTGCTTGGGTTTTATACATGTAATCCCCTAATCTTACGACTTCCCGATATTTGACTACTTTATTTAAACCTGTTATCGCTAACGCTTCTTAAAAGTACACACGCGTTTACGTTGTTACACATCTATAGTCTTGAACAACGAGAGTAAACTCTTTGTTTGAAAAACTTGAACACGGTCTTCTATATATGCTGTTCCTGGAAAACTTTGTGGTTATGAAGCTAAAGTTATTTCTTATCTAGCGCATGTCTGGTAAATATATAAGAGCAGTGTATTATTTCTAATAAACAGTTTTCTCATATTCTTTTCCTGCCCACACGTACTTTATTCATTGATCTGTCTGTTGTGTTTTGGAGGTTGTCTTGGCCTGTCACTTTCGAAATATTTTCAGATATAAACAAGTTAAGTTATCTCGTAATGTCTAGCGAGAGGCTTTTAGAGCCGCCATGAAACTGTAATTTTTCCAATTTAGAAACAGGACTGAGCCATAATCCCTTGAAGATCAGCTGAAATAGTACGGGAAATACCTCAGAACTTTTTGAACTGCATTCAGTTTTGAAGGTTGACGGTACAAATAACCTTTTTTGACGGTTAAATCTCTCTAGGCCATTTGATGGCTGACTGCTAAACCCCATTAAGATTCTCAGTTAGGTACGTTGTTCCGCAATTTAATATTCATCTAAACTGGTTACTTTGACTTAGGTTTTGCGTGGTTATGAGTTTGTCAGCTGTACAGTGGAAATAGGGACAATGGAGACTTGTAAATAGGTTACCTTTTATAGAGAGCTTAGCCTTAGCCTGTGTTATAAATAAAACCATAGATACCGGCCTGCCTGTTCCTCTTTCTTTCTTGGAGATCCTTCCTTTCAACAATTATTGAATGACGCTGAATATGATGTGAAGAATTATTCAGGAAACTAGCGTAAGCTTTTTAAGGTGTACGCACGGAAAGGAAAGGTAGATCACCGAAGGCGTCCCAAACTATGGGGGTCTGGGGGCATGCTTCCCCACAGAATTTTCAGTAGATGAATACGAAGGAAAATGCAATAGCTAGTTATTTATTTTACCCATCTGTATTGTTATCTGTAAGGTGCAATGCTTACGAGAAAAAAAAAGGGATACAACAGTGACGTCATCAAGGAGGTTCATGCAAAGGGCGAGACTTCTTCCCTTCAGACGGGCAAGGACATCGATACAGTGAGAAAAATTTATCAGTTATCCCGATTTCATGATTAAAAATCTTCGAGGAAGCATTTTTTGCTAGAGTTCAGCTGTGCGCACGGGCGTTGCGTATATGGACGGTACGCTCCTGTTATGCAGATCGAGGAGCATGTTATCTAACGAGGCCGAAGGCCGGCGGAGGTGCAAGATAACAGCCTACTAGATCAGCATAATTCTTCACATCATTCGACCGGCGAATTTAATATTGCTTTTATTATTCCGTTCAAACTATTTCTAAGTTCTTAAAAAGCTAGTACCTCCTCGTAGATCGTAGACTCTCTAAAACTTTGGCCTATTTTTCGGCGCGGTTTGTGGACATAAAGAGTATGTATTTTTCAAGCAGAACCTCTTTAAAAAGTTCATAACAACAATCGGACAATATGTTTTGCGTTTCCTCCGTTCAGTTTTAGCAGGAAATTCAGCCATTTTGATCAGATAGTCGTGAACGCCATTTCTTAAGCTGACTGTTAACCTAAGCGGCCTCCTTTCTAGGCAAATATACCATCGGCGATTGAAATCGTGTCCATCAAATAGTCCGGAATCGGTGCTATATTGACCATTCCCCAAAATACCGTAACATACCATAATGCTCTTTGTTTGTCAACCCAAAATTTTGCATAAGCATTGTCTTCACTTTCTCTTGGGACCATTTCAACTCCCAAGAGAAACTAAAGACAATGCTTATGCAAAATTATGGGGTAACAAACAAAGAGCATTATGGTATGTTACAGTATTTTCTGGAGTGGTCAATTGCTCACATCCTTCAAATATGGCAAGAGCCAGTTGGTCATGAAGATTTAGTCGATGGATTGAATGAATAATAATCCTCCTTGTAAATACATAAAACTAATCATGACTAATTATCAACCTAAGTAGTAGTTTATGTTAAACTGTTTAATATTGTCCTGTAGGCCGAAATTGTTCAGTGCTGATTTCAGAGTTTAGTAGGCCGAAAAACCGTGATGATCATAGACTTGAATTTGACTACATGACAAAGAGGCGTTTAAAGTGTTTCGATACAATTTTTCGGAGACCATACCGATGCTTTTCAATCACCTTAAAAGTGATTTTATCCTTGTCCGATGGCTACAAAAATTTCACCAGTGATTGTACTATGAATTGAAGTTTGTCAAAATGTAGATTTCACTAAAATCGATATCACTATGACAACAATAAGCAAAAAACTTTGAAATCGATAAAATCCGAATTTTGCGCGATCTAGACCCGCTCCTGAAACTCCGGCACCAGAAGCTTTATGTGGTGTTTAGCAAATAACCTCCGTGAGAATTTAAAAATTCTGTATGTTTCAATTCAAATAAAACGAAAATATATTTCAAACCTTATATTTTCAATAGCCGTGATAAAATGTTTATTATCGTGCATGCTTGCACGATAATAGTGCGTACGAAGGTGATAAACGTGTATCGAGTCTAAATTCCGTTGATAGACAGGTGCATAGATCGTGCCTTCGTGGTAAATTGAACGAGTATCAACCGTGCCTTTATCGAGCCTTAGAGCGTGTTTTTATCAAGCCTTAAGATGATGTTACACCAGACAATTCGCAACGATGATTTTTTAGCGCAACACAGTGTTGCAACATCGTTGCTATAATATTTCGAATGGTTATAACATTATTCCAATATTGCAATCCTGTGTTGCGCTAAAAATAGTCGTTGCGAGTCGTCCTGTGTAACACCCCCCTCAGGTCGTGCCTACATGCATCGTGCGTTTAAAGACCGCGCTCTTATGGAACCTTTTGAGATCACGCGCATCAGATCGTGCCTTTTCCCTAGAAGCAGTTCGGTGCTCATTTTTCGAATGTTGTCGTGTAGTGTGGTGTAACTATTAACACTGTGCATCTCTAAACGCTTTGTCTATCACTGAAACGCTCGGTCTATTCAAAGCCCCAGTTGTTCGAAAGGTGGATAGCGCTATCAACTGGATAAATTACTATCCAAAGGACAGCGCAATTGGTTTTCGTAATACTTATCCTCTGGATAGCGATTTATCCGGTGGATAGCGCTATCCAACTCTTGAACAACCGCGACTTGTTGGTCAATAGTTTATAGTTTAGGTATGTAAGATCGAAACTTTATAATTTTAAAACAAAAGTTTCGTTGATTACTGTAAAGCACATTGATTGCAGAGCAACCGAGCAGAAAATTTAGGTTCTATGTAAGAGTTGAGCGGAACTTTTAGTAGCAGTAAATGCAGCGTTCGGCCATTTTTTGCAAAAAGGATGTCACCAACAGCGTACGCATAGCGGCGAAAGATCCTTCGACCGTTGGAAAGAGAGCCTTTGAAATTACTGCAAGCTTGCTAAGTTTTTGTCAAATGTTTCAGAAGCGTGCACTACCAGAATTTGCAGAATGTTTGTGCCCCTCACCAAACAGACGTTAATGAAATGCAATAAGTCTGAAGTTTGTTTTCCGGCAACACTACGCTCCAACTGGTCCGATGTGAAGAATGGAAAAATATCGTGAAAGAATCAAGTGATTGCAAGAGAGGTTCTTGTTGAATGTAGTAAGAAAATACGAATTTTGTCAACTAAAGGGGATTTAGTTACTAAATTTTCTGCCGTCTAGTCTTTGGAATTATCTACTTTTACAAATATGTAAGTAGGATAGGATAATTTTAAGAGGTTCAATTTTTTTTTTCAAAAAACGCGTCTTTTACTTTTAATTTTTCCGGAGGGAAAACTTGCTTAATTGGGAGAACAAAAAACAAAAACAAAAACAAAACAAAAAAAAAACTGTTCACTTCTCATAAATATCCCGATTGCAATGCTAGCTGATTTGGAATTAAATACAAAATTAACTATCGATAGAAAAGCACTGTAGTTTTCCTTTTAGGTTTTACTTAATGGATGATTAATTGGTTAAAAAGATACCGTAACTACCTCTAAAGTAATATTTTCAAACTACAACTGTTGCTTCGGCTTACCTTAATATTGATTAAAAGACTAAGGGCACAAACTGACTGATCGTGATTTAAAAGTTATCTCTTACGTCGTTTCGTAAAATGTTTCCACTTCCTCTGGAGTAAAAGAATAACCAGTTTCTCCCGTCAGAAATCCCTGGCTGAAGGTGTCTTTATACTTGTACCCGCTTGGTGGGCTGTACGTACCGCCAAGGTCTGTATTGGAATAGCTACCAGATGACGCGTTGTCGGCAATGTAAATGTCATGGCTTCCTCTTCCAAACGTAGGTCCATAAGACGAGCAGTCGTATATGGACTCTCTGTTATAACTATATTGCCCTGTCTGAGGCAGTTTCACAGGTGCCCATCCTGGTTTGTTAACCAGAGAGAAAAGAAATGCCTGGGAATCATATCGCCACCCGGGGCAACTGCTGTAACCTGCTGGTAAAATAAGAAAAAATAGATAGAGATACAGACCCTAATGTAAATTCCTCGTTTTGGTAATAAAGGGACTAAATTATAAATTGCTTTATTGTCTTCTTCTGGTCCGCAGAATCTAACGAATCTACTGTAGCTCGACATTATTATTATTGAAAAAATATATTATTATTATAATTATTATTATTATCATGGCAGTAAAAACTTCTGAAAGCTCTTAAGTGCCCCCTACCCCCAAAAAAAAAAAAAAAAAAACACACACACACCAGGCGCATTTCATAACCTGTTGGCTAAATCTAAAATCTGGAACACTCTTAAAATCTAGATATTGTGTATAACCAATAAACTACATTAAAAATGTTAAGAAAAAAATTCAAATTCCTTTGCCACTTGTTAAAAAAATACAGAAAAATATGTCAGAAAATTACCTAAAACGTATTAGAAACAACAACTAAAAGTTACAGAAAATCTGTTGATAATTACCTAAAGGTACTTTAAAAAATCCCTAAAAATTGCTAAAATTAAAATTGGATAACGCCATGTAAGATAATAATAACTTTCAAGTCTCTTAAAAAGAGTGTGACAAAGAGTGTGACAAAACACTTTTCTGCATTTTTTTTAAAATATTCCTTCCTGGCCTTTCTCTGATCATTGTCTTTATAGCGGAGCTCTGGCGCGCGAAGCGCGCCTGCGGAGCACCATGGGTAAGTAAATCTACCCATCACAGAAAATTTGGTAATCACGTGACCGTACACCGCCCGCCCGCCCGCTGCCTGTCCGTCCGCACCACAGGGAAACCAATGTTCAATCCCAGACTTTCTAGCTAGTATGGGAGCACAGGAAGACTGATATTGCACACATATTGCACATCAATGTTGCGATCAATTGACAGCTGTCAAAACAGGGTCCCGCTGACCAGTATTACCTGACCGTATCGCGGGCTCAGGTGTCGATCCATCGAGGTCGAGTATTTTTGGAAGTTATCCGCTAACAAGTTACTATTTTTCGAATGATTGCAGGCTCAAGTTTAATTTTTTCAATTCATATGAAATATGTTGTGTTTTATGTGCCGCATAATTAAAATTTTGATTTCAAACTGACCTCGAAAGCGAAGATTCAGCCAGTTTTTACAGGTAGGGAACACATGCCAGTTGCTTTTGACTCTTCTCACCAAGGTCACGCGTTGGTCACGCTCTACGTCCAATTTTTATGCTCTGATTGGTCAAAATTTGACAGGTGAGTTCATGCGGAAAATTTACGCAGCATCTTGAAACTTGTTTACTTTGACAGCTGAAGCTGACAGAGTTTTGTGTCAACTTGTGATGTTTTTAACTGTCTTTTTCCACTGAACATTGTACAAAATGAAATTCAGCTGCTATCAAGAATCTTCTGTTATTCATGGCTAGTTTGTTTATCGGGTTTTTGGTTGAGAAATACGTCGCTTGTCAAAGTCGGAAATCCGATTTCAGATGGCATTGTTTTCGTTTTTCACCTTGCTTGATGCGTAAGAGGGTTGAAGAGTCTGAAGCGATTTTGGCCTTACTTGATAGCTTTCAGTGCATCTCGAATGGTAAGCCTGATTAATTATTTTATCTGATGTTTGTTTTTTATACCTAATTCAATGAAGTCGAGTGTAGTTTATGGGGCTATTTAGTTTATGCACGTTTGTAGACAATGATCAGACCGAGTATCCGGTTTGATTATAAGCTTATAGAACTTTAAAAAGCCTTCAGACATTTTCTCACCGCAAATAGAAAGAAAATGTTCCAAAGAATATTTAGTTATAATTCTGGCTGTAAAAGAAAGCTTTGAGCGATTTTCTTGCCTCGAGTTCATCTTTGAAAAACGCAAACAGCGGGAAGCCGGCTTAAAACATAAACAAGGATTTTCAGAGACACTTTAATACTTGTCTTCGTGAATGAAAATTGTTGTCTCTGTATATGTTTCACCGAATTATTTTCCTTTTATTGATTGTTAGTAGTCTCTTTTGCAATTTTCATCGCTGTTGTGCCGTTTGTTTTCAGTCACTCTTGAACATACAATCTTGGACAAAACCGTTGAGAAAATTGCATACTTGGGGAGCATTTTTTCTAAACTTCGTAGCCGACCGATTCTTCCCTCCCCCTGGAAGCAGTTTTGTTGGGTCTTCAAAAGAAAGCCCGATCCCTATGCATTTGTAGGAAGCAACTTTGAACTGGGGGAGGGGGTTTTCGTTACGCAAAGCCGTTGATTTGAAAATAGTTTTGTTAGGTTAGGTAGTGCGCATTAATGAAAACATTTCCTCAAGTAGTTTTGTCCAGGATTGTATTTGACTTGAAAAGTCGATTTTGAGCATTTAACGCGGGCACATTCTCTATATATTTCGTACATTTCACAGAAAAGTAGATAGTTAATGGAAAATAAGTGACAACAGAGGAGTTGACGACAAGAAAACCAACTTGTATGTCTTTCTTGATTCAAGTAGCCAGTCGTGAACGTTTGTGAATTTCATTTTCCATGCACGGTTTTTACGCGCGCTTTGAGTGCAGAGGAGCAGGTATACATTACGTTTTTGGCGGACGAGAAGGACGTCTCCGTCAAGGGGATCAGCCAGAAAACGGGAATTTCACCTGCTACCATTCGACCAACAAATAACACATGAAACTTTTGCTGAATTTTCAGAGCGCGTAACCCATACTTTGCCCAATTTTCTCATCGCCGAAATAGATAAAACAATCAAAGTCAATGAACAAGCGCTTGCCATGAATAACAGCATCAAATGGAGAGAGGTTGAAATATTAACAAAACTTGTATTTTTACTTTCCAAATTTGAAAGCTTACTTTTGACATTGTAGCGATGTCCAGTGCAAAAAATCACACTATGAAATCTAGAAATGTCACGCGCGGTAATGTGACAAGATGTACTATCGTGTGACCTGTAAGAGTGCATGTTTTGCCCTCGGGCTATTTATAGTTACATATGACTGGAAGAAATTATGAGATAAATTCATCATTTGTAAAGCAAGAGATAGTAAAAATTGCCACAGTTGTCTTCTAATCTCTTTCTCTCCACAATATCTAAGATTCGGAACGATTAACAGGACATTTTTAAGGTGCTACCAAGATTAGCAACGGTTAACAACGATTAACAAGGACGTTTCATCAGAATAAGAAGGCCATTTACTTTTAAAAACGAAATGGTGTTAACCGTTTCAATGCTTTGTTAATCGTAACATTATTCTATCGATGGAATTATCATAAAAAGTTAACCGACTAGTAGCAAACGAGGTTTCTGTAACCCTCATAGTTTAGCCAATTTTAAGATCTGAGAAGCAGTTTCCACGTGACGGGATACGTTTCCATATTGGCTTCACTATACGTCACTAAATAAACACTACGAACTTCTTTTCTTCTAAGAAAACCGTCACCCAAGTCTTGCTCTGACTCTTCTTAAAGCTATAAACCACTTTCCACAATTTCCAAGCCTGCCAGGTTTGAACAACACGAAAACATGTAACAATGAGCACGCGTTCTACGGCTACTGCAAAATCTTACTGTTTTAAGAGGGTGCAGGAAAAAACGTATATGAAGTCGTACTTTTCTATGAGAAGATGGTGTGCCGTGAAACTTTGTGCTCAAAACAGCTTCTGTAAAGTGCTTTTTATTGGTAGGTTTCCGTTTTGTCCATGTTAATATTCTTGCTACAAAACGCGAATAACCTTATATACAATCTTGGACAAAACCGTTGAGAAAATTGCATACTTGGGGAGCATTTTTTCTAAACTTGGTAGTCGACCAATTCTTCCCTCCCCCCTCCCCTGGAAGCAGTTCTGTTGGGTCTTCAAAAGAAAGCCCGATCCCTAAGCATTTGTAGTAAGCAACTTTGAACTGGGGGAGGGGGTTTTCGTTACGCAAAGCCGTTGATTTGAAAATAGTTTTGTTACGTTAGGTAGTGCGCATTAAAGAAAACATTTTCTCAAGTAGTTTTGTCCAGGATTGTAGCTTGCAGGAGTAGTCAAAATGCCGCGCGTATCAAACGCTTTTGAAGATTACACATCGTTATAAAGCCATTATGTTGAAGCATATAACTGTGTCAATCTTAATTTAAACAGTCGACTTTGTCAAAGTGAGAACCGGCTCGCCGTATAGCTGATTTTGGAAATTTTTTAACGGTTTAGCTAACGCGTGCTTCGATCGTCCTGAATATTGAGTGAGTGCAATTTGTATTGCAAAATTGTGAAACACTGCATTCTGTCCGAGGTCTGTATGATAAAAACAGCGCCTCATGGTACTATTTCACCTCAGATGTGATGTATAAAAAGTATAAAAGGTTGGTTTACACGTCCCCAGAGTTGTTGGCAAGATTTTGTAAAGTAAACTTATCGAACGCAAAAAATTCGGCCTGATTTGTTTTCCTAATGTACTCTGATCAAGAACCATTATGGCTATGCTATTTTTTAGGTGTACAAATAAGGCTATCAAGTCGATTTAAGATTAATTTCACTCTTAGCTTGGACTCTTTGCAAACTATTTTTCTCTAAAATTACTTAGCCTTTCCGTCAAAAGTCACATGAATGTCCTCTAAAGTTAACTGATTTGTGGAATACAAACATACAAGTGTTTGACTTAAATTATAAATTCGAGTTAGTAGGAGCGTCGCTTTTAGCCCTGGCTAAATCTATATATTACTCTTAGCCGTGTTCATAGATGCACCTCCAAATACATCAACAATGATATTATCACCCCTGGGCCACTTCTGCATCTTGAGCTCAAAACCGACGAAGTGGCGCATATCTCATGGTCTTCTTCGACTCCTTTTCTTCTCTGTTTTCCATCCAAGGGCAGCTCATTTCTAGTAGTGTGGCTTTCTTATCTTCCTTATTAATTTTTCTGACATCTATTGTGGTTAGTCTGACTTCAGTGTTCTTTGCATAAACTAGCACATCCCAATAAGCTTTAGCTCTATGCTTATCGTCTACTGGATTTGGCTCGGTAGGAGAAAACAAAGGGGGAACATTGTCAGTTTTTTTAGCAACTCAAAGAGAGCGAGGTATTTGGTCTGCGCCGAGTAGACAGCCAGCACGTGCGGCGTGAACTCTTCAGCATGTGACATCAGGTAATGGATTCAATCCTTCTTCTCATGGTGATAAACTTTCGTTGAAAGGAGCTGCTGGTACAATTCCTGTGCGCCAGCGATGGTACTAGACGGCTGACTGATCTCCAATCTTCTGCTAGTCACCGTCCAATTCCTTGTCATTCCACCTGGTTGCCACCAGCAGTTTCGTTGCCAGTTGTCATTTTTAACTTCTTCCATTCACTTTTTCTTTAATTTTTCCTTGGCACATCCCCCGCCGCGCAATTAACGCTCCATTCACCTCATCTGTTTCACCAACGGGATTTGGGTTGAAGTTCCAAGCCCAGTTCCTGGGCATATTTCTTGGCATCTTTAATTAAGGCTCGTCGACTACTTTCCTCAGCGTTCTCTTCATATCTTCTACCCAACTGCATTACGGGGTCTGGTTACTGTACAGCTTGACCGCCGCTTTGATCTTAGTCAATATATATTCTTCCTCCATTGACTTTTATAACGCCTCTTCCTTCGAGTTTCCCAGGGAGGTACATCAGTTCTGTTGATCCCAAAGGGGTGTTTGCCTCCGCTCTGGGTGATCACCTTTCTTACCTCTCTGTCTAGTTGTTGTAGGTCAGCATGCAATTATATTGGCCAAACTTGAGTCTAGACATCAGATATTACAGGACGGGCAGTGTGAACCTGTTAGATGCCAGCACTTCATTATAGAGGGACAAAGGGATATTCCAGATAACCTAACTGACATTCTCTGTAGGAAAACTTTCGCTGCACCTTTTAGCACAAGCTGATCTTCTTGTTTGAAATTTTCCATAACCGGTAGGAATTTGTAAAAGGATCCATGCTTCAAACTCTGTGTCAATTCAGAGTCACCGATCTTCATTCCCTCTGAATTCTCAGAGAGACATCCTCTCTTTTCATGAACCACTGCACACTTCTTTTCACTCCATTGCAGACCTACATCCATCATAGCCTCTCTCATAGATCTCATTTCCCTCTGCAGTTTACCTCGGATGCTACTTAAATCTTACTGAGATCCTCTTTAAACAATGGATGTGTGACTTGCATGTCAATGGACTTAGAAAGCTTGTAGGCTTTTGTTGCTTTTGATTTCCAAAGGACAGGATTAGTGCTTAGCATGAATAAGCGTGGGCATAAGGCATCTCCCTGGGGGAGACAACTCTTGAATCTTATTTCGTCATATGTCTCCACTCCTTGTTTTGTTCTCTCTACTATCTGTGTATTCCATCGCGAACTCGGTCGGTATAGCGCTTTTTCTATCCATTCCGGTAACCAGTGAAGCGTTAACATCAGTTTCTCAACCATTGATGATCAACAGAATGGTTCGCCTTGCTAACATCGATGCGGCCCATACGCCTCTTCGGCTGTCCTGACAGACTATGCGATCTAGTCTCTATCGTTCCGCTACACCTGGTAAACTCTTTTTAGCTAGAAAACTTTCTTCCACCAATAATTGGCAGTTCAATCTGGGTCGGGAGCGCGCCAGTTCTTTTTCTAAGTGATCACTCTCACGGCTTGGGTGTGGTCCAGCTCAAACTATTCCCCTCTGCTGGCATGTTAGTCAAACTATCAGGAGGAACGCCGCTTTTTGTAATATACCTAACTTTGCCTATTCGAAGTTTGATAATATCTTCTAATTTTAGAATCCGTAAGCTCCTAAAAATGGTATTGGTATTTTCATCAAACGTACTCCTGAAAACTATCCTAATAAGCCGTTGATAAAGAGTAAGCAGACTTTTGATATTTCACTGATAATTTTGAGCCGCAGACTTTCGTAAACTATGATAGAAAGTACTTACAATAAGGAGTCCTTATTAAGGCATAAACTTCATTTGTATTGCTTAGAATACTAAAAAAATAATAGAAAGCTTAATAGCCTGAAATCAGCTTGGTAGTTTCTTCAGTTTGGAATTTCCGATTTCCACTGATCGGTTGATTTGGGTCTTAACGAGAACAAAATATGTTAGTATTATCGGCAAGTAGCATGAAATCCAAGGCCTTTGACACATTGCACAAATCAGTGATGTATAACAAAAACGCACTAGACCTAAAATCGACCCCTGGGGCACTCCACATTTAATGTATATTTAGAGAAAGTTTTATATCCATACAAAGTTCCGTGCAAACTGAGTTCTAAAAGAAAGACAACAGAGAAAGACAATCGGCCCGGGTATTATTAAGACCTGGTATATGTCGAGCGCGAACGATAATGTTATAATTGAGAGCAGTTAGAACCAAGTCACGGATCAATATCATAACTAATTTGTGTTTGGATGTCTGTTGATTGATAATACTGACCAGCGCAGCGTTATCAGTAACAAACACGATACATCGGTTAGCCATATGAAAACCCCAAATACGCACTGAGAGGGCAATAGGAAATAGTTCGAGAAAGGTAATATTGAAGGGTTGCCACTGATCCGTAAAAGAGCCGAAGAACCAGTGAGGGCCAAAGATAGCACCATAGCCCTTTGATCCGGCCGCATCGGTATACAATTCGATAGGAGGAGATGTGTTCCACTTATCATCCAAGAAAAAGGAACGGCCATTGAATTCCCTCAGAAATTTTAGCCATACCTCCATATCGTGTTTGGTTTCTTTAGTGAGCCTAATGCGATGATGTGGGCGTCTCCCCCCAATAGTGAGATCAATTAGGCGGCGAAGAAAAGCACGCCCAGGGACGATTACAGAACAGGTAAAATTTAATAGACCTATAAGGGACTGTAATTCTCGCAAAGTAACTTTACGACGTTTGCAAAAGGATTCAAGTAATAGGCGGCATTTTTGAAGCTTATCTTCCGGCAAACGAGCTTCCTGAGTAATTGAATCGAGTGTGATACCCGCAAATTGTATGACTTGAGATGGTCCACAAGTTTTTTCCTGAGCAATGGGCACGCCGAGATAATCACACTTACGAAGAAAATTGCTTAAATCGGTGCGGCATTGCTCTTCGGTACGCGCAATAAAAAGAAAGTCGTCAAGAATGTGAAGAACTCCGGATGCGGCAAATCGGTGCACAGAGATCCACTCCAAGGAAGAACTAAAAGCTTCAAAAATTTGACACGAGGATGACAGTCCCATAGGAAGACATACGTCAAAGTACAACTGATTATCCCATTTCATGCCTAGCCAAGGAAAATCGAACGGATGGATTGGAATAATCCTGAAAGCCGATTTAATATCGGTTTTGGCCAAAAAGCAACCAGCCCCTAAACTTTTAAGTACCGCAATGGCATCAGAAATAGAAGCGTAGTGAACCGAAGAATGTGCGTCCGGTATGTTATCGTTTACTGAGGTGCCCGGAGGGTACGATAGGTGTTGAATTAAACGGAATTCAGAGGGGTCTTTGTTGGGAACAATGCTTAAAGGAGAACAAACAAAGTTTGGAAAAGGAGGGCAAATAAAAGGACCACATATCCTCCCGGCCTCACACTCTTTACGTAGTTTGGTCCCAACGATTTGCGGTTGGTCTAAAGCGCTTTTAAGGTTGGGTGAGTGCAACGCGCAGCGTTCCCCATCAAAACCAACGCGAAAACCAAAAGTAAACCCATTAACTAAATAAAGGCGGAGAGAAGTTTCGTATCCGCTAAGAAGGAAATTAAGCCGATCCACCTTTACGGGTGTTACTGGCTTGTGCAGCGACGTTTGAAATGCCTGCGTTGACGGGGTGTGTTTTAGGTTGGCTGGAGGAACACTGTGCGGCAGGGTGTTTTGAGCCACACCTATAGCAAATGTGTTCGAAACGGCACCCGTTGCACACCTTTCCCGCATGGAAACGCCAGCATGTGCCTCTCGGAAAGGACTGGGAGAGGGAGCGCAGTGGTCCCTTATCCGAGGAAAATTGGGTTTTCGGACGAAAATTTGTCACAGCCTTTAGCCAAAGTTCCAGGTGAATAGTGTCCCATGGGTATTGTGCAGGGGCTGATTGCCTTATGAAACGAAATTGTTCGTCATAATACAACCAGTCACCTGGTTTTGCGGCGATATCGCGGACAATTTCACAATATTTCATCAGCTTGGGTGTGTCCGTGGTTAGTTTTTCAGAATAGATCGCAACAAAAATGTTAAATGCAGAGAGCCACTGGTTGATAGTTTGGATCTTTTTTACTGGTTGGCTAGGTTCTAAAGTTAAGTGAGGGTGGGTGGTCTCACCATCCGAAGAGGCGAGAGACAGAGAATACTTTTGATTATTGGGAGAAAACGAAAGGAGAGTTCCAAAATCAAGATATTCATTGGACCAGATTTTTGCCTTGACTTTGGAACTCACCCGACTGCTAAGAGAAACAGCCACTCTAGAAAACATTTGCTTCGGAGCCGGCGAGTCTAACCCAGGCTCAGCTAAGGTGACAACGTTTTCGCTACGTGATGCAGTACCTTGGGTGATCTCGGCCAAGGATGCGTTGACTATATTGGCCACTGACTGGTCCGTGGAGGACTGTGTCTCCTGGCTGGATGCGGCTGGCCATTGCGCTTTCATCGCCTCCCCGACAACTAGCTGTACTGCGCTAGAAATGGAGGCCGAGAGGGCCTGCATATTAACGGCCATGAGAGGCTCCTCTTCTTGTTGTTGATCACTCGGTCCAGGGCTGGTTTCCATCGGTTCTGTTACACGTGCCCGCTTTGCAGAACTTCGCGTGCGTGACTGAGACGTTCGCTTCGGCTTAGGAGGCATAACTTGGATAAGTAAAAGTAATTAGATTAAGATAAGGCTAAATGCCATATGTTTCCGCTAAGATAAGATAAGATATCAAAACGGTATGAGTCAAAGAGGAGCAAATAAATAAAAGGTCTGAGCCGGGATGTTGATTTTTCCTTTGAGTTTTGTGTGTTTGTATGTCTGCTGAAAACCAAATGGCGAGCCATGTAGCAAGAATTGAGTGACATAAATGCCTGGTAAAAGAATATCAAAGTGCATTGAGGACACACCCAAGTAAGGGTGGTCGAATAGGATTGCACACTCATAATATTCACCAGGATACAAAGTATGTATAAGGCCAACTCCAGCAAATACAATCTGTTATGCACGAAAGGCAAACAACAGTTCTGTAGAACTGTAAGAACAATGAGTGCACCCCAAATAGAATGCGCCCAATTAAATAAAGGCGCTAACGTAAACGGCTGTCACTAAAACAAAGGTATGGCGAGGGAAGTACGTAAACTTTAAAAGGCTCGACTGGGAAATGAAATGAAACGTTGAAAATTCAACAAGACGAAAAAGGGCTGAACAGGCTCAAGGACCTTAGGATTGCTCCCCTAAGACTACGATGGTATTTTTCCTGACCAAAGGAATTGAGATGCACACCATCACGTGCGTAAAAGTTCTGAGTCGGGCGCCAAAAACCCCTATGGCCCCAAAAGATAGCATAAGGTATAGACTCTAAAACTACCCGAAGGTATTTCGTTAACAACTTGGCCTTACGATTAAAGACCACTGCGCCCTGGCGCATGATGGTCTGGCACACGCAGACAACCTTAACACCATAGGTGTCATGCAAGAGCCTAACAAAATCTTCAATAGCTGAGCCAACATGTAAAGGGTCAGAGTCTGTTAAATCATTGAAACCCAACTGCATTATAACTATCTCGGGTCGAAAGGACTCGATAACATTCAAGTCAAGATGGAGCGTTTTGGAAACCGTACGGCCACCGACTCCGTGCCATTTTATAAAGGCACGGTGAGATAACTTGAAATCAACGCTAAAATGGTAAGAATCACAGGACAGGAAAAGGCGCAAACGGCGAATAAAAGAATCGCCCAGAACTAAAACACGGGGCTCAGCCATTGAATAACAGGAAAGATAAAACGAAAAGAGGGTACATGCCTACAAAATGCTGAAAATTGGTTCGAACCAGCGATGTGAACAACGTGATGGTGAGCGATCGAAAGGGGGCGAGCACATGGAAAAGCGCCCCTAAGAATGATATAGTCCGGAACGCCCTAAATTCTGATTGGCTGGAAATAAGATAGGCTTGGAACCTGGCGCCTTGGCCTGCAAACCATTATCAAATGCCTTGTCATAAAATCCCATTATGATGTCGTCATAACGGTGTCTTTTTTATTGGCGAAGTTGAGGGCATATGGTTTCACCGACGCAACCATCGGAATAATGTTAGAATTTCAAATGAGACTTCAAGCAAATGGAAAGAAATATTTAGAGGATGCCCCAAGGCTCAAATTTTGAATGTTTTCAAGGAAGACTCAGTCTACAATACTGACAAAAGCATCATCAAGATGTATGCATATGACCATAAAATGTATGTTGCTAGTGAGAAGATGGAAGAGGTGGAAAGGACCCTAACAAACGAGAGAAGGGAATCTCAAATTGGTGCCAACTCAATTTGTTGAAATGTAATCCTTACAAATTCCCAGTCGATTAGTTTAAGGCAGGGGTTCATGAACGAAGTGATGAAGATCAAATTAAGGTCCTCGACAAATATTTAGAAAAGGGTCCAGCAATAAAGCTATTGGATGTCACTTTTGATGAGCATCTGAAGTTTACTAGCCAGTTAGATGAACTATGTAAAAGAGTATCTAGAAAAATAGGGGTCCTGGTGAGACTGAAAAATTTAATACCAACATTACTATCAAAGCTTATAATTCACAAATCTTTTATTTTGCCACAATTAACTTATTGTCAGACGGTCTGGCGCTTTTGTAAAAATCTAATAGGAAAAAGATTGAAAGACTCTTCGAGAGAGCGCTAAGATCAGTACATTGTGACAGACATAGACGGACATACTGCATAGTCTATTTTATCAAGAGGACCTCAGGCGGGATAATTTAAAATCTATACATACTCCCGGAATAATTATTATTTACATATAAAAAATTACAATGATACATTGTGTAAAAAGGATCTAAAAATATACATAAAATACAAGTAACAATTAAAAATTATTAACACATTTGTAATTTATAATGAGCATTTACAATTGACGTCTAAAGAAGGTTTCAATTTGAATAAATGTTTTTTTTTAAAGTCGCAAGATCCTCAGACTGATGAACTTCTGATGGCAAATTGTTCAAGATGCGAATTACATGTATTGCATGATTGAAAGAATGCCGAAGCCATGATGTTCAATGATGTTGAGATATTTTGTTGTTGCACCCTGAAGCCAAAGTCTCACAAATCATTCTTGTCGCATTTACGTATCGTAAAAAAAGATTGTAGATATTCGGGGGCATCAATTTTGAGACACCTAAAAAAACAAGACTAATGATGGGAAAATTCTGCGGTATTCTAAGAATTTGATACCAGCCGCTTGCATCATAAGAGCACGATTTGGGCAAATAGAAAGCTATAGACATATGCGTCTTCCATTCTCTTTGACTGGCCATTTCCGATTCCTTAGAGTAGGCGCACAGTACTCGAAATGCCTTGTAAAGCCTTTTCATAGTTTCGAACGGGAGAAAGCGACGTGATCTTCTCAGTGCTGCTGTCATTCTGTAACCCCTTTTCCAACTGGAGAGAAATATGTTCCTTAAAAGCAAGCTTTTTGTCTAGAGTTACTCCTAAAATTTTTAACTGTGCAGAAACAGATACGGACGCATTATCGATTCGGAGAGCGAATTCATAATTTGAATGACCAAGGACGAGAGCTTGTGTCTTGTCTGGGTTTATTGTAAGATAATTTACATTGAACCGGTCCGATAAGGAGCTTAAGGCATCGTTAATTGGTGACAAATTCTAGGACGGCTGCCGAGGTATCAGCAGTATAGTTACAAAGTTATATCATCCGCGTATAATCTTAGCGAGGTATTTGAGCAAAGTGATTTAAGACGCTTTAAAAGATGTTGAACAGCAGAGGGAAAAGAAGAGAGCCTTGGGGAACACCAGCACTGATGTCTCTCCACTGTGAAAATGTTCCTTCTATCTTAAATCTTTATTGTTGACCCTTAATGTAGGCGGCTAACGGGTCCAGAGCACTATCTGTCAGCCCATACGCCTTAAGCTTGGCCAAAAGGAGATTGCGACAGACAGAGTCAAACGCTTTGCTTAGGTCGACCACTACTACGTCAACATTGACTTCGTTGGTCAAGATTAATGCGCCAGCCTTCGGTCGTCTTTAAAAGAGCAGATCGAGCAGCATGAATGTCCTTTAAGGAAGCCAGACAGGTTCAATGAAAAGTGTGGTCGAATGTAGCCACATAATTGGACGTAAATAACTCTCTCGTACAATTCAGCCATGCTTCCAAGCACAGAAACAGGTCTGTAGTTTTTCTTGTCTGTTGCATTATTGTTTTTGAAAATAGGCGAGACAGTGGTTCTTTTCAATTCCAATATCCAATCGTGTTTCTCAATAAATTTTGTTAATCAACTTGACCACTTCCTCTGCTTTTGCCGGGGCAGACAGCGATAGAACTCGAGGAAAAATGCCGTCAACGCCTACTGATTTTCTTGTGTCTAAATGTTTCAAGTTTTTTTTTGTATTGAGACTAAGTCGACTGGTTGGAAAGAAAGCAGTCTTTCATGATGCCATTTTTCAGTGATCTTTTGAACACTAGGATCTGATTAAAATCAGACAAAGTATTAAGGAAGATAGCAATAGTTAAGTACAGAGTCAAGTATAATTTATGCCCTTGCTATATATCTGATATTTTTTATTAATAACCAACCGAAGTTATACCCTGAGAAATTCAGACAATTTTATGATTCTAGGATGCATACTACCACCTCTGGAAACCACAGTATAAGATGTATTGGTCCTATAATATGGTCCAAACTAAGTATGCGCATTAAGAGTTCTGAAACACTCTCTTCTTTTAAGAACCAGCAGGTGAGAGAAGTGGACATCGAGAATGATGATGATGATGATGATGATGATGATGATGATGATGATACCTTTAATAAAGTGTCAAAACTGTAATAGCGGTGTATAACCGCTAAGTTGGGACACTAAAATAAGTTTAAAAAGAATAAATCAATTAATTAATTAAAAATGAAAAAAGAAAAAAGAAAAATAAAAGAACATAAGAATTAAGAAATTAAGAAAAACTATGTACAGTATAAGCAAGTGAGAAATTCGGAAAAACTATGTACAGTATAAGCAAGTAAGAAATTCGGGGGAACTATATACAATATGTACAAACGATCCCCTAAGAACCCTCACCTGTAAGAACAGTCACCTGTGTAGCTCTTAGAATAACTAGTGGGGCGGGTAGCCGGGGTTTTCGAGTTTGTCTGTTCGTTCGTTCGTTCGTTCGTTCGTTTGTTTGTTTGTTTGTTTTTAATTTAGATAGCTGTTCACAATTAGTTTACAGTGTGTGAATAGGCTAGCCATTTTAACTCGTTTATAAAGTCTTTATTGCTATTTATTGGTAATGTGAGCCTGTATCACGGTAATGCTGTTCGATGCACATATTGATCTGAAGACGACAGACATGCATAGTTAAAAGTCTCGATTGGAAACTAGCTGACGTGATTAGTTAAAATTAAGCATAATTTACAATTACTGGCTTCAGTCTTCGTCCAATCCTCGACAGATTCCCCCTCCCCGTAAAGACGCGTGGTGTCATTCGTCGGTAACTTGTATGTTTGAATCCATATCAATGCTGTCAGTTATAAAATGTGCTTGAAGAAACGCTTGTTCATTTTTTCCCTTACTTTGCTTTTCCTTTGTTTTGACCATGATATGGATGTTCAATATTAGAGATGTACATGTAGGCTGACGTTGGCTAATGCAAGCTTTCATGAGATGCATACCTTGCCTAGTCCTTTCAGTGTGCTAATAATTAAGTGAATGAAAATGGGTGGCCAGGCTTGTAAGACCTGAGCAATTATAATCACAGCATTCTAAACATAAAACAGTGCAACCCTCATCAAACAATTTTCACCGACTGGCACGTCAAGAGAGGAACTACACAATAGCTAGCAAAGCCTAGAGACAAAATTGTCATATTCAGTAATTGATGGTAACTGAATTTCTGCACATAAAGTGAAGTTGACATTGTTGATGATCTTGCTAGAGAAGGTTAATGTCTCCCCGTTTCTAGATTGTTTTTGCACGCTGGTTTTAATAATCTTTTTTTGTTATTTTGTTTCTTTCTATGTGAATAAAGGCAAAAGGCTAAGACGGCTGTAGAAGCTATCTAAACTGAGAATACACATTGTAGTGAAAATATCTGTTTGATTTTGATGAATCCCAAAACATAAATTTTTTTGACAATAACAATGATGATTTTGAAATGGGGGAAAAGACATACAAAAATGAATTGTCTCAATGGACAAAATATCAAGGTGCATTGAATGTACATCATTTGATGACTTTCAAAGCTATAAATAATGTTATAAACTTTATCTCATATGTTGCAGATTTAGTCATTCTTATCTTTTTGTTATAGTTCGCCCTTGATTTAAGTTTGTAAAAGTTCTTGCAAGGCGGAGAGAGCTAATTAACTGATAATTATAAAGAACGTCACCAATTTCGACTAAACCTTATTTTCAAACTGTGAGCTCTTTAGCTAACTGCGGTGTTGGTCATCAGTGGCTACACTTTTTGTAAGGACTTTTTGTGAGGGTCGGATACTCTTGGTTTTGGTATGTCAGATAAAAGCCTTTGTTCAACCTGAAAAATGATTTTAGATTTTGAGTCAATACTCACTGCAAGGCAAGTAGCAGTATACATCTTCCCCATTTGACCCTCCCCCCACCACCACCCCATACACTTTGGCGTTGGTGGAGAGTGTTGATTAAGATAAATTCTTCTAAGGTCGTCATATCCTTTATTGTCACAGTGGAGCCCATCGATAATTCGATACCCTCAGATTTACCTACCCGCCAACAAAATTCCAGAACAACGCGAAAATCTGGCAGTGCTTGTTTCCACGGGAAAATTCAAAGAGGCGACCGGGTCCCAACTCATTAACTGGAGAAACCCCTTTCAGACGAAGGTGTGGCGAAATATTGTAAATTGCATGAGGCCTACGACTTGGCGCAAGACCACCAAAACATTGATTATAATAGAGCTTTTTGATGCTCGGTGGAAAAGCCATTGGTATGTTCGTCAAAGTGGATGGCGTGGAAGCTTTGCAAAAGGACATGCGAGAAGAATTCATAATTAACTCGGTGTTGTCGTGAAAACTTTGCAAACATATAATAATAAACATAAAAATAACTATAGGCAAGGAGATTTTTCCATAATTAACTCGGCGTTTCCGTCTGTGCCTGGTATTACGGCATTGCGCTGCGGCCGCCTGCTCGTGGCTGTCAACGCCGCTCTAAATTTACAACCAAACACATTGTTTTTGAAAAAACAAAACAAAACAAAAAAAACTTAAAAAGCAACCTGCGAAAAAACCTGGACAATAACTTTATGAAGAACCTGGACAATTTCTTGTCTAAGAAATTCACAACAAAACTTTTTAAAATTATTATATATGGAAGAGAAAGCTGTGCAACTCCCGAAGTTCCACCCGCTACGTTTGAAGTTCCAGTCGCACCCATTCAAGTTAGCTCAAAAATCAAAACTAACATGGCTCGCAAAAAATCCTGGCTGAGTTGCGACTGGTAAAATATTAGAAGAATATAACCGCTTTTAGTAAAATCCAACTAGCGGTCTATTATCAACGCTTCGTTCTGATTGGTTGAGCTACTACTAGGCTATATGTTATAGCCCACTAGTAGCGAAAAGCGCCTGATTTTTGGCGGCTAAAAAAAGGATTAAAGTCTTACTTTAAGTTGTTTTGTCTCGATATTTTTGACCATCTAGTTGAATTTTACTAAAACAATTATTCCTCTCGCCCTCATGGCCTCTGAGTCAATAGCCCATTCGAACTTCGGCCTCATGGGCTATTGCCTCGGACTCGAGGAATAATTGTTATATATACAACGGTGAAAGTCATCAGTGACAAGCTGACTCATCCCTGTGTAATGCAACTTTCTTCACGTTGTATACTACTACTTCGCCTTATTTACGCTTTATTAAAAGAAAATCAGAGAAAAAGTCGTCTTAGTAATATAAAGATGTAGCCCTAACCCTCTCCAACACCGATATCCCTCATTTTCCCATTACACTTGTTTTATTTCATAATGTTATTTAAAAAGCTGTTAATTTTCTTAATAGTATCATTGTTTGACTTTCTTGCATGAAACAACGTTACCATTACGGATAAGAATACCATTCCCTAATGAAGTCGAAGTAACCCAACAAAATTGGTGTTAAACATACAAACCCGAATTCCCAAACATTTTTTTCTTGTTAAAATGGAGAGAGTAAGTAAAGAGTATTGTCAAAGAGGGGCCGGTCGAGGGTCCGTACGCCAACAATCTCTCCAGCTTGGTATGCGCAACGACGGTGCGATCCTAAAAGATGGCTGGCTTTGTATGGTGTGTAGACTGTTAAAATTAGATCACTTACCCCATGAGAGGTTAGTGTAGCCTCCAAATATGTATTTCCCTCCGACTCTTATGATTGTTACAGTTGGTCCTTTGTTGTTACATCCGCTGTGAAAAGTACTGGCAGCCCAGCCATCCACGGACGCACGCCAACAGCGCTTCCATTTTGAAGATTCGCTTTGGGCGACTGGTTTGAGCCATGTACTTAAATTGGCTAAGTGATGCACATTATCTCCTACGATAACGGAGTCAGTCAGTCCCTCTGCAAAAACTGATATAAGGGAAGAGAAAAGAAAAGGTAACTCAGGTAACGTCTTTTTTCGAAATTGATATCACTTACAGTGAAACCTGTATTAAGCGGACACCGCATTAAGCGGATGTCCTCTATTAAGAGGACAGTACCCGAAGTCCCCAAATTTATTTCCCTTTAAGCGGACGCGGGCACCTGAAGAGTACCTGAAATGGTCATTTTTATTGTTGCCAACCTGTATTAAACCGACACTTGTAATTAAATTCCCCCACCTGATGCCAGACACCGGAAATGCGAAAGATTAATATTGCCACCCACAAATTTTTCGATTTTTACATTAAAAAAACGTGAGTTGACGAACGTATTTGATTAGTTTCACAGTACAGAATTGTTTTCTATTTCGTTTTGTTTATATAGAGCTTGTTTCACTCATCTGAACATAAATGAACAACTGTAAAATGAAATAGCGTAAATGAAATACGTTAATTACAATTATTCATTTAAAATATTTCGCCGTTTCTGATTGGGTCAAAGCCCCTAATCAACTGGCGTTTACCATATTTGGAGGATGGAGCAATATGCTATTTAAATCGAAGGTATAATGCTCGAATCTTCTAAATATGAAATTGATCAACTTCGTTTCCGGGTGCGGCCGCCTAGCTGATTATTCACCAGTGAACTCTGAAAAAAAGACGTTCACGACTATCCGGAACAGCTGAACTTTAAAGTAAAACTGAACGGAAGAATTGCAAGAATGCACAAAACAAATCACGAGATGGATGTTATCTACTTTTTGGGGAGCACTGCAAAGAAAAACTGTGCTTAGGAATAGGCCAAAGATTTGAAGAAAGTCTTCGATGATGTAAAATTGTTAGAAAAGAATTAACAAATATTTTGAAAGAAAAATAAAACAATGAATGAATTTTGGCTTTCCTATAATGTAAAGAATCATGCAGATCTCGGAGGATGTTATGCACCTCAACAACCTCCTCGATCTGCAAAACTCTTTATCCTACTCAGCCTTATTCAGTAATTGCTAAAGGTAATTTTAAGTAACTACTTCTTAAAAGAAGTAATTATATATTTAGAAAAATAAGTACGTTATATGTGCACGTGCATTAAAATGTAGACATGAATTGAATTATAGAATAGTGCATGTATGTATAAATAAGTTTGAATGTAATGTCCTACATCCTTATTCGAATCTAATCCTTAGTATGAGATAGATGATTTAAATTTACGCGCCATTTGCACTTTGGACGAAAGTGAGGAAGTACATGATCTTAAGTGGCCTCTCATGATGCAGAGTTATTTAAAAGTCAGAAATGCCATTCTCAGACATTTTCGTTTTGCTGACTGGTTTGGGAGACCTAAAAGATAGTCTAAATTCACGCCAAAATGGTCGGTGAAAACGCCTTGATAAGAATACAAGGAAGTTGCTCGCTCCGTGTTATAGGCTAAAGCATAGGCATAACATGAGGTATGACGTCATACAATGTTGGATACGAAAACTTACCGGCGGATTCAGCGGATTGCCGATCTCATTATCCACCATTTTGAACGCTATGATGTCACACGTCCGCAGGAAACTTCCATAATTGATGTTATAACAGTAAAGTAACTGACCTTTAGATTCACTAATTATTTTCTCCTACCTCCGCAAGTTTTTCCATCGCCGTTGTATCCTGCCTTGCAGGTGCAGATATACGATCCACGAGTATTGGAGCAGTTGGCATTGACGTCACATACAGGAGGAGAAGCACTGCACTCGTCAATGTCTAAAAAAAACAAAAACATTGGAGTTCCACAAGGATCTATCGTAAGCTCCTCGCTAACAAAATAAAATCAAATAATAATAAATAAATGAAAATATTCAACCTTGTTGGATCCCCGTTGATAACAGTCTGACTTTCCTCAACAGGGAACCAAAACGTTTTAGAGTTTTCTTCTTCTTCGCCATCGAGTTTTCCACGCCAGAAGTTTTCAACATTTTTCATATATCTCTCATAATTCTTCTGAAAAAGGGTTTTTCTGTATAAGCTGCTCCAAAAACCTAGGGTTACCCGGTGCTAGCGCTGTTTCTTCATAATTTTGTTTTTCTTTTTCTACTGGTCTAGGTGGGCTACTAAGTAATCACAGCATTACTTTTCGCGGTTAAATAGCGGACTTCAAACGTCTTAATTCTTAATGCACGGCGTTTTAAAGAATTTTTACACTCACATGTACCCCCAAATTTTCTAATACCAGAAGTATAACCCGAGGCATATGATGTCATGCACTGCCGGTATATAAACGGACTGGATTCGATGGATTGCCGATTTTTACTGGTCGTCATAAGTCCCAGGGAATCTGCCATCTTCGTTGTTATCACAGTAAATCGACCTTTATCCTACCTTGGCAAGTTTTCCCATCACCTGTATACCCTGCCCTGCAGGTACAGATATACGATCCACGAGTATTGGAGCAGTTGGCATTGATGTCACATACAGGAGAAGAAGCACCGCATTCGTCAATGTCTAGAACAACAAACATACTGATTGATGAAAAAAAAAATTGAAGGGCATTTACTCAGGCCCTAACAGGTGACGCGCGCGAGGAGTACCCATTCTTCCTTGGCATGAGTCTTTTTTTCCCTTAAAATTTATCTTTAGCTTCTTTCTCCATGTCTTATCAGTTTAAATCTCTCGGTTGCTGTTGCTTCATAATTTTGTTTTTCTTTTTCTACTGGGCTAGGTGCTCTACTAAGTAATTACAGCATTACTTTTCGCGGTTAAATAACGGACTTCAAAGGTTTTAATTCTTGCGCGGTCATTTACAGAATTTCTATACACTTACATCTACCCAAAAAGTTGCCTGAGAAAACAGCCGACATTTGGCGACGCTACCACTGGTTTACCCGCCAAATGACGTCTAAGAAGCTAGCGCAGAAATTCCAAACTGATGACGCGTCACTACCCAGATCTGGGTAGTGCTTCTGATTGGTTTAATTAAATTTCCCACTCTGCACGACCAATCAGAAGTACTACCCAGATCTAGGTAGTAACACACGATCCGTACGGAACTTCTGCGCTCGTTTCTCAGGCGCCATTCGCTGGGGAAACCGGTGGTAGCGTCGCCAAATGTCGGCTGTTTTCCGGCAGGCTTCCCAAAACGTTTCTACGACAGAAGTATAACCCGAGGCATATGATGTCATGCACTGCCGGTATATAAAGGGACTGGATTCGATGGATTGCCCATTTTTGCTGGTCATCACAAGTCCCTTGGAAACTGCCGTCTTCGTTGTTATCACTGTAAATCGACCTTTATCCTACCTTGGCAAGTCTTTCCACCGCCTGTATATCCTGCCCTGCAGGTACAGATGTACGATCCACGAGTATTGGAGCAGTTGGCATTGATGTCACATACAGGTGAAGAAGTATTACATTCGTCAACGTCTAAAACAACAAACATACTGATTGATGAAAAAATTATTGAAGGGTATTAACTCAGGCCCTGACATGTGACGCGAGGATTACCCAGTCTTTCGTGGCATGAGTCATTTTTTCCCTTAAAATTTATCCTTTTTTCTCCGTGTCTTATCAGTTTAAATCTCCCGGTTCGGTTATAATTTATAATTTTGTTCTTTTTTTTTTTATTCTACTGGGCTAGGTGGACTACTAAGTAATTACAGCATTACTTTTCGAGGTTAAATAATGGACTTAATGCACGACCTTTTAAAGAATTTTTATACAGTTACATGTACCGAAAAAGGTTCTAATAACAGAAGTATAACCCGAGGCATGCTGTGATGCACTGCCCGTGTATAAACGGACTGGATTCGATGGGTTGCCGATTTTTACTGGCCGTTACAAGTCCTGGGAAACTGCCCTCCTCGTTGTTCTTACACGGTAAAACGAAGTTTATCATACCTTGGCAAGTTTTTCCATCGCCTGTATATCCTGCTCTGCAGGTACAGATATACGATCCCCTAGTATTGGAGCAGTTGGCATTGATGTCACATACAGGTGTAGAAGCACCGCATTCGTCAATGTCTAGAACAACAAACATATTGATTGATGAAAAAAAATATTGAAGGGCATTTACTCAGGCCCTAACATGTGACGTTGAAGGTACTCATTCCTTCGTGACATGAGTCTTTTTTCACTTTCAAATTTATCTTTTTTGTCCGGGTCTTATCTTAATCTCACGGTTAATTTTTCATCAGTCGCCGCATCTGTGAATAAATATGAAACGTTTAAGTCATTTGTCTAATAATCATAAATTAACTTATCAGAGGGTTCAGCTTAACGGTAGTCGCCGATTATATAGCTGACTAAACTCACCGTTGGTATCCATATTGCAATAAGCCAGAACAGATGTACCAGATTTTATAGTGGAAAACCAGTATTTTCCGCTAACAACGTGTCCTTCACTCCTCTTTATTTCGTCACAAGTCTCAGCTGGTAGTTCTTGAATCGAACCAAGGGGAACTGAGAGGTTAAAAAACAATTCTTCATTATCAGTTCGCCTTTACCCCTACAGAGTTTTTAGTTTATGCTCGGGGCGCTACTCAACAAAGTTTTATAAAGCCGGGACTGGAGGTTCCGCCCTGAGGTCCAACCCCTTACCGTTTTATAAAACGTTTTTGACAAGAAAGGTACCCCTTTCTTATACCTTCGATTCACGAATGTTAGAACTACCGTAAAATCCCACGTTAAAGTTCAGGGGCTTATATAACTTCATAAAGGGTTTTGGGTGGGCTTATAAAGGGGGAAGGGGGGTATAAGCCGAAATAAATGTTTCGGACCGACAGGATAAAACATATCTGAACCGAATTAAAGCAAACATTCTATTATAAATTGATCACAATAAATGGAGAATGTATTTCACAAACATCTATAAAACACTTAAACAACTGGAAGGGAACAGGACAAAAGTCAAAAAACTTCAAGAAACGATCCTCTGGGTAGCATTAACAAAGTTGATATTTCTATTTCACCCGCACAATTTGGCAGCTTCATGTTCCAATTCAAGTGGCTACTGTTTTACAAAACGCGCTTGGCATAACATGGGCTTATATCTTGGGGGAGGGGGGTATATCCAGAATAATATCCTCGTTTGCAAACGGATGGGTTTAAATCCGGGGGGGGCTTTAACATGGGATTTTACGATAATTTTGCATCCCTCTTAACTGCTGTAAATGCTATGTCTTTTAAACATGAATAAACTCAAAACCAGAAAAATTTTCGTCTGCTTTTTCTCATCCATAAAATGCATCTGTTAGCTCTTTTAGTTTCTTTTATCGGCCTCCAGAGATGACTAACTTTCCTACCCTTTCATATACTTTAAACTGTGAAATTTCTTAGCTCTTTCATATATATGAAGCCTGACAAATTAAAGGTACCCCGTTCGTGGGGAGCTTCCCCGTAACCGGTCAACTTAAGAGTATCCCCGGCACTTAATGATGGCTCACCTCGTTGTAAATCGCGTCGATAGTAAGATCTGTCTTGGTTTCGAATGAAGTCCTCGGGCCTGGCTTCCTTTGTCCTGTTGTTAAACTCACACATAAGAAGAGAGATAACCCAGTTAATACTTTGGCATCGATTGTCTTCGCGACACTGGAATACGCACGTAAACGGACGTTCAGCGAGAAGAGTGTCGTACACGTGTCCTCGTAACATCCAGCCCAAAATGGACTTCTCTGATCTACCACCTGCAGGACACTTAGTGGTTACTGCGCTGTAGAGCAGGAGAGCTAGAACGAAGGTACGGAAAACTATTCTTGCGGTCATATCTGGAAGTAAAGAACAAAAAAGTATTTTGTTAAGACATAAACTTTACAAAAGGTGAACTTAACCGATTAATTCGTCGAACGTTTCCGCCTAAGAAAAAACTTGCATACTACAAAGCATCTAAAATAGCCAATTTTCAAACCGAATTTGATAAAACTTTTAGAAACCATGACAAACACATTTTTGTTCGAAATAATTTTATATTGATTCCCCCTCTTCAAAATGCACCTGCTGGTTGTTACCTAGGGGAATTAATTAGCCGGTAAAACAGAAAAGCTAACTCGAAGATGAATGCGCTATAGCCATTTTCTCTGTTGTCACACACACTTTTCTCTACGAATTTTCATCTTTACCTCCGTACACGAAAAATTCCCGGATGTTTCGCGGCATTCTGGGCGATGAGTTATTCTTATAATTGTTTTAAAATTCAAAATACTAGCCTTAGCGCCAAGCAGTTTTTAGTCTTGTTTAACGAAAAGTGAGATGGTTGTGATTATACTGACTATAGCTAAATGCAAATAAGTGTTGACTCCAGACGAAAATTATTATCCATAGAAAACCAGAGTTGCTTGAAACTGTCACTAGTTCCCTTCACCCACACCCAGCAAAAAAAAAATAATCCTGAAGGGAAAACCTTTTTAGCAAATGAAAGACCTATAAAAGCAAGTGAAACTGAGGAAACTTAAAAATAACCTCAGAAACTAGAAAAAAAAAAAAAAAACACTTGGAAACTGTTAAAGCAGGTTTCTACGATTCATTTGCGGTGTCAAAAGAAGCCTTTCAACCTTGTTTAGATGTCTGGAGTAGCGTATAGAATGGCAGAGGAAATTATCTGTACTAAACTAATAACTGCTGGTTATGTAAGCGCGTTTTTAACTAGTTCTACAATCATGTATTTTAGTGAAAATTCTTTTTACTAGTATTCACGTGTACCTCTATTTCAAACATTATGCACTTACTAAAGACGTCCCTGAAAATATACAAAGGTAAATTTTTGTGGAATTAAGATAGGACTTATACTTTTAATTTATCATGATAGAAGAGCAAAACCTGAAAATATCGATTTCTTAATCATGTGGTCAGTGAACCCCATGTCATGCAATGGGGTGGTAGCTTTAACGGTTGACGGTTAATTGCTTCCAATTTTGACGGCTGACGGTTAAATTTTATAGCTTTTGATGGTTATTAATTGGAAACTGGGTCCAAAAATTGATCTAAATATCAGCTTCTGTATGAATTACTAGTAACTGATGTGTTTTGAAGGTTGTCTTGGCCTTTCACTCTCAAAATTTCAAAATATTTTCAGATATAAGAAGGTTGTTGGGCATGCGAGAAAACTGGTTTTCCCAGTTTAGAAATTCTTTAGGAGCCGGAATTCCGTGAAGATCAGCTGAAATATTGAGATTTGAAACACTTTGAAACTTGACGTTTAATCTTAACCTGCAGTTTAGACGGTTGACGGTTAAATATAACATTTTTTGACGGTTGACGGTGAATTGTTTGCCCGGTCAACCCCAGTGAGACCTTCTAGCCAGGGAAATTATTACACCATAAGCTACTAAAATATCGCAAGCTCCTAAATTCTGTTGCATTTAAAACATTATTTTGAAATTAACTTAAATAAACGAGGCTTTTTTAAAGTTACAGCATTAAAAGAAAATTTTAAGCTTTTTTCACACTTTGTTTGTGTTTTCTTTGGTTCATTGAGCGATTTCTTTTTTCATTTTTCTTTCTTGCTTAGAGTGCATGATCTCTGATGCACCTGTGACAAGACCTAACAAAAAAAATGACATATATACCTTTAGAAGCTTCTAATAAACAAATAAACAACCACGACGGCGACAACATTTAGTAAACAGTTCGGGAGTATGCCAGTTTTGGAAGAAGCGGTGACGTCATGATTCCATTGTTCTACTAAAAAAACGCAAAAATAGGAAAAAATAATCGCAAGAAACAAGGGAGCTTTTTTCAAAGCCTGTTCCAGGTCTCCTCGTTCAATATCCGGGACTTCCGAGCTAGCAGTACCGATGAAGAAGCCTTCTCCTTGCGTTTTGAATTTCAAGGGAAGTTTCCTGCCACATTTCGGTAGTTAAAAGCGACAGTTTTCAAAATGGCCTTCGACGCCGCCGCCGCCATCTTAACGGGCATCGAATGTAAGTACATGACTTTATGTTTAGTTTTCAGTATCTTGCCGAATTTTTACGAAATCAAGACTAATTTTCCTCAAAACTACAACGTGTAGAGTGTGTTCAGGCAAAGTGTTACATGAAGTAGTTTTTGGAGTCTTCCCAGGAGTCCTTGTGTGATTAAATGTAGAAAGCATGGCTTCGTTTCATTCAAGTTGTCTCAGTTAATAGCCGAATAACCCAAAGATGGGTTCCATCAAGTTAAGCTTGACAATGAAAGTTCACTTCTTACAACGTTCTGGACTCCTTTTGGGAGATATCGCTACCTTCGCATTCCACAAGGAATCAGCAGCGCCTCAGAAGAATATCAACGGCGCCAGAATGAAGCACTCTCAGGCCTCAATGGAGTAGAAGTAATTGCAGATGACATCTTATGTTATGGCAGCGGAGAATCTATGGAAGAAGCTTTAACAGATCACGATCGCAATTTAGTGAACTTGCTAAAGCGTGCACGCAGTGTTAATCTTAAATTTAACAAGAACAAGTTGAGGTTGAAGTTAGACCAAGTAACTTACATGGGACAGTTGTTCACGTCAGAAGGACTAAAGCCTGATCCCATGAAAGTCGAAGCAATTGCAAGCATGCCTCGACCAGATGATAAGAGAGCAGTCCAACGTCTTCTGGGATGTGATAATTATTTGTCCAGGTTCATGCCACAGTTCTCAAAAGTGTCTGAACCACTACGCAAGTTAACTGAGAAGAATGTCATGTTTACTTGGGACAGTTCACAGGAGGAAGCTTTCCAAGCAATCAAAAGCATGATCAGCTCTGCACCCCTGTTGAAGTATTATGATGTGGCCAGTGAAACCACTATCCAATGTGATGCCTCAGAGTCTGGTTTGGGAGCAACCCTGCTCCAAGAAGGACAGCCGGTTGCATTTGCATCATGGTCGTTGAGCACTGTTGAAAGCCAGTATGCTCAAATAGAGAAGGAATGCTTGGCGATTGTTTTTGCTTGCAGTCGTTTTAATCAGTACCTACACGGAAGAGAACTTACAACTGTAGAAACAGACCATAAGCCATTGGTGCCCATTTTCCAGAAGTCTATTCATTCAGCGCCTAAAAGGCTACAGAGAATGCTCCTGCGTCTGCAAAGGTACAATCTAAATGTGACGTATCTTCCTAGCAGAGCTTACCTCCAAGTTGACCGCACCCAGTGTAAGAGGACACCAGAGTACCAAATCTTCCAACTCAAGCAAGAACAGCAGCTGTTTGAAGAAATTGCCAGCATCAATCAAGTTGATTACATGCGCTTATCTGAGGGTACCCATCAGCAGATTAAGCAATGCACTCTTGCAGACCCCACTTTGCAGACTCTAATGAACACTGCTACTACCGGATGGCCAGTCTCCAAAGAAGATGTTCCACCTTGCATTCGAGAATATTGGAATTACAAAGAAGAGTTAACAGTGCAAGACGGAGTATTATACAAAGGAATGAAGGTCATTGTTCCCATTTCCATGAGACCTCAGATGATTGCCAGAGTCCATTCCAGTCACTTAGGACCTGATGCCTGTGTACGTCGAGCACGTGATGTGTTATTTTGGCCAAGTATGTCAGGCCAAATCAAGGAACAGGTTCAAAACTGTGAAGTTTGCAATGACTTTCTAGCCAGACAACAGAAGGAACCGTTAATGACGCATAAGATTCCAGATACCCCATGGTCAAAGGTTGGTCAGGATCTCTTCACCTATGGAAGTGAGACCTTCCTAGTGACTGTTGACTATTACAGTGATTACTTTGAACTAGATTTGTTGCAAGATGCAACTACAGAGTCTGTGATCAAGGCAACAAAGTCCCACTTTGCCCGGCATGGTATTGCAGACATGATTACAGACAATGGTCCCCAATATTCAAGCGATCAGTTCGCCGCTTTCACACGAGAATGGGAATTCCAGCACACTACAAGTTCGCCACTCCACAGTCAGAGCAATGGCAAAGCAGAGTCAGCCGTTAAGATCGCCAAAAATCTGGTTAAGAAGGCTAAGCGAGAAAACAAAGATCTCCAAATGGCCCTGTTGGAATGGCGAAACACACCTGACGTTAACAATTAAGTCCGACTCAAAAGCTCATGTCAAGAAGAACTCGGACCACCATCCCCACCGCTGAAGCGTTACTCAAACCCGAAATTGTCGACAGTGTACATGACAACATGAAACGTAAGAGACAGCAGACCAAAGCAGCTTACGACAAGAGCGCAAGACCATTGCCCGAGCTTCAAATTGGAGAACCAGTACGTCTTCAGCCAGTAAACCCCAAAGCTCCATGGGACAAAGGCTCGTGTGTGGCAAAAGTCGGCTCACGTTCGTACCTGATCGAAACAGAGAACGGAAACCTATACAGACGTAATCGGAAGTTCATCCGCCAAGACCCTAGTCAAGGACATCAGCAGCCCATCATCACCGATAGCAGCTCAACCAAGCAAAGCTCACCTTTGCCAAAGCCAGCAGATGTCCACCCTGAACCTACAGCGAAAGAAGAAAGGAAATCGCAGCAACCTCAGAATCTCGTTACAAGAAGTGGCAGAGTCAGCGTTCGCCCATCAAGATTCGCAGACTACGTTTAATAGACGATTTATGAAGTGAACTTTGACATTAACTTTAGTTCTTTGTTGAGTTTTAGTTTTACTTCCTCGGATCAAGTCAACATATAGCAGAAAGACATTTAAGTGCATAATTTAGGCCTGATAATTTCTAAATTCAAGTCGCTGATTTTTAGTAAGATCGTTTATTACTGTAAAAGGAGAGATGTTACATGAAGTAGTTTTTGGAGTCTTCCCAGGAGTCCTTGTGTGATTAAATGTGGAAAGCATGG